ATGATAAAAATACCTTCAGATTTCAAAAAACTTTAGAAAAAATGAGCACTTTGGAGCCTTATTGCAAGCTTAGCTGAAATTGCAGAAAGGAGGATGTTGCCTCTGAGCTGCCTTTTCTTAATGTTTTCTTCTGTTGCTTCTGTGGCAGCGAGATGCAGAGCTCAGCGAATGCTGTCTGCAGGCTCTGTTTGCTTGCCCAGTTTATCCCTACCTTGATGTGAACCAGTGAGAAGCCAGCATCTTAGAGCATGTCTGAGCAGCTCTTCGGTCTTGGCTCTGGCTAATCAAAGTGGAAAAGCGCATTTCACAATCAGGGGTCCCTCCCATGCTAAACATCCTGCCCACAGCTCTTTATCTCTCACTCATGAGGAACTTCAGATCGTCTCTCACTTCTGAGGAGCTCCACATCATCCCTTTCCAGCCCTCAGTCTGCTGCCCCCATACACTAATCTCTCTGCACAGCTCCAAGCAGGCTCTCCCATGGCATGCTTGAGAGTGGATGGTTGTTAAAGGGTGTCCAGCAGAACAGGCAAAGGTAAGACCTTTCCCCTATTACAGGAGATACCAAAATCTGTTTTCAGACAGCACTGGCAGCCCAAGCACTCAGAAGCAAGACTGGACTGTGCCCACACATGTAAAATTCACATCTAGGCATTAAGGCACAATTCTTAAGGTGGTTCTGCCTGAAGGTCTTCCAGGAGGTCACATCAATGATGTCTGCGCTGGGCAGGTTCAGCTACAGGCAGCATAACCTCACCTCTGTCACCAGCTAATACAAACCCATCAGATTTAACTCTGGCAAAACAGCCAGCAGTCAACAGTTTACTATGCACAGCACAACCCTCATCCTTTCCTTCACAAGCCGATGTTGAGCAAAAGGAATCTGTTATATGACTGTGTTATATATGTATATACATATATATGTTATATATGTAGTTATATCACCACAGATTACAGAAGTTTTCAAGTTCAGGGATGGCGACCAGGCTCCATCACCCGAATCCTACTAAGAGAGTACCAAAAGTCACCAAGTGCCCTATGGGAACTAGTTAATGGTTTGGCTCCAACTAATCAACCCCTGCTGCAGTGGGTTGTCTGCTCTAGAGCTGAGGTTTGACACGGATACCTGAGCAGCATCAGTGAGACAGATGATGTCCCAGGAACTGCTGGAAGTGCTTTGTTAAAGTAACATCTTCAGTTGGGCAAAGGTTTATAAATGATTATAAGGTCTATAAAGGTTTATAAATGATAAAAATGAGTACAAATGTGGCCTTCACGTTACCTCTCCATCCTTTAGACTTATTAAAGGCAGAGCAACAAAAGAAAAACATGCACAAATCTCACCTGTTCCAAACAAACACCTCAAACCTGGCATTGAGGGGAAAAAAATGTGTATTTTATGGTGGAAAATGTAAGGTAGCAGCACTTTATATGGTATGGAATGTAAGGAACTGAGACAAATACATGGAATTGAGACACATGGTTAAGTAATTTACTATAAACACAGTATTTTCTAGAGAGTAAAAACTGGGCACTCCAGACTGATAATGGCATAAGGCAAGCAAAAATAAAAGCACAACCAAGTACTCATGCACATTACTTGTGGTCTTAAAAGGAGAGGTCTCCATCGAGAGAGCAAACGGCGATCCAGAATGAAAAACATCCATCTTCCACTGACTGTGAGAGGAGCACAAACAGGCCCATTATTCATCTTCTGTCAGAAGAGCAGAAAGACCCTGCTAACAGCTACGGGTTTTCTTAGTTTATTAAAAGAAGCAGCTTTACATGTGGAGAGTGACCCAAATCAGGTTAACTGGAGGGTAAAGCAAGAAGGAACGCAGCATTATGTGCAGATTCATTTATTATAACAATGACATTTTAAAGACAAACCCCCAAAATGCATATGAAGATTTTACCACATAAGGATAGTTTAAATCTGAAGTATTTATGTTTTGCAGACATTGTAAAAGTCTGACTAACTTAATTATCAGTGCTTCAACAAAACATGATTTAGCTGGAAAACACATTGGCAGAGGTCAGATATGCAATACTTTATCCACACATCCATGCACAGCTATCACACCAAAGACTTCTTTCTGTAGTTTTCCACCTATAAATTAACCAGTGTTTCATTTGATAACTTATGCACACAGTTGCATCTGAAGTAAACCCTCTGAAGACAATGTGACCAGCCGTGCTTGACCTACACATCCCTACAGGACAAAGACCACCACCATAATACTGTACCTGCTGCAAAAGGGTGAAGAGAGAAGGTAAGAGAAGAAATGACTTCATTAAGATGACAAGAGACAGCTTTAAAGATAGGATCATCAGGATTTGTACCTGTTTCACCAGATCATCACCAGAGAGGGGACATCAATGCCTCATACCCCCCTTGTGCGTGGTTCTGCACTACCCAAATGGCAGCAACAGCAGAGCCAGCACCAACGTCAGCACCGAGGCAAAGGGAACTCCTTAAAAATTACTATCTTGGGTTTTCAGGACAAACCTTTGTTCAGGGAAATGTTCCAACCACAGTTTGGTTGTGCAATAATGAAAGCAACTCCCACTGGGATGAAACACACACCAGGTACATGAGATCTGCCAGCAGATGCTCCCCGGTCCCACTAACACCATCACAACCTTCAGCCTACCAACCCGTGTCACTAAAGCAGCTGAGATTGAGCCACCTCTTTTCTAGGGAGCTACAGGTATACAAAGAGGAGGAAGGCACCAAGTTTGATAGGATGACAGAGGATCCTGGCACACAGGAGTAGTGGAGCTTGTGCAGGAGATGGACAAGTGAGCAGAAGCATGCATCTAGAAAGGAAGGGACAGAAGGAGATCATCAGAGGGAGCACCACCAGTGACAGCAAACCACTGGGTCCACCAGTGGTGCTTTGTGCAACTCGACTGTTACTAACTTTGCTTTACAAACCACTTCATGGCTCACCCCAGGGTAAGGTCAGTGGCTGGGGAGCTCCCTAGTTCCTCTAGATGAAGCTGAGAAAGCCCCAGACCACAGACATCACATCTGTTGGGAAGATTTGCACAATAAGGATAGTCCAACGTAAGTTCTTTGTCCTACTCATCATCTTCCTTCCATTTCCTGCACCTTCCCATCAAGAGCTATTACAACCACACACACAGGAGTCTTGCTCAGCTCTCAAAGGACACAACCTGCACCCACCACCACCACGCAGCTGGTACCCTGCTCACCACTGTGCCAAACAAGCCAATGGTGCGGGCTCAATCTCGCATAAAGCAGGTATAAACTTTTATTTTTAACACCAACGTGAATGTATAATTTGTTCAGATGTTTTAAGCAAGAGAGAAGGGAAAAAGACATAGGAGCAGATGATAACAACAAGCAAAAATCAAAGGTGTGGGCTCATAAGTAACAAGTTCCCAAGGAACAAGGGACAGGACAAGAGGAAACGGCCTCAAGCTGCACCAGGGCAGGTTTAGATGGAGCTGAGGAACAATTCCTTCCCCAGAGGGTGCTCAGGCATTGGAACAGGCTGCCCAGGGCAGGGCTGCAGTCACCGTCCCTGCAAGTGTTCACACAGCGTGGAGACGAGGCCTCAGTGCCATGGGTTAGTGGTGGCCTTGGAGTGCTGGGGGATGTTCGAACCTGATGACTTTAAAGGTCTGTTCCAACCTCCCTGATTCTATGTATGATAAATGATGCAGCTGAAGGTTTTTTCACACCACAGGCCCTTTGGAAAGTGTAGCTCCTCTCCTTCTAGCACCGACCCATCCAGTTGCTGGAAGCAACACACAACTAACTACAGTATAATAGTCTTTCTTCCTCCTTTGAAGTGGCTTAGAGAGGCAAATAGCTGCTGTTCACTTGCCTCACAGGCAATACATTAAAAGCAAATAAGACTACACTGCCTTAAACCTCACTGTCTAATTTTACAGTCAATGTTTAGGCTGTATTATCTACAACAACAACCGTAAGCCACGCTTCAGCATAACCAGTGCAGATAAAGGTAACAGCAGTGCTAAAAAGGCACAAGTTTCACATCAGACTCTTCAGGTTATTCATAATCACTGCTAATAACTTGGTAGTTATTTTGGATACAAGGACTCATACTTCAAGAGAGTTTAACAGGGCTAATAGCTACAGAGCCTTGGGTGCCATGGTTTAGTGTGAGGTGTCCCTGCCCATGGCAAGGGGTTGGAACTGGGTGATCTTAAGGTCCTTTCCAACCCAAACCATTCTGGGATTCTATGATTATAAACCAAACTGTTTGGATTTGAGGATGAGCTGAGGTTTATTTGCTTGGAAACCAAGGCAAACCCCACGCACCACCTCTGTGCTCAGAACTGGAATTCTTTTGGGGTCGCAGACAGGATTTAAGGAAATTATTCATGGGTTACATACACGGGATTGCATCAAGCATCCCGGAACTTCAAGAGACACAGGGCTGGCAGTGAGCAGCAGCCTCCCACTGAACTACATGACTGTGTGTCCCTGCACGTACAAAGCATCCACTGCTCTATGTAAATACAATACAAAGAATCGCATTCTATTTGCTGAACAGCTTATGTGACTGCACGGTCTGACACAGAGCACGCTCCTGCAAGCTCCCGTTCCTTACTGAGTATTAAAGCACCCAGGGAAAAGGAGTTTGCAAAGTTTACTTCCATGATTACTCCTTCACCAAGAGAGGATGCAGACACCAAACCACGCGCCCTGTTAGGAGCTATCTCACGGAGAAAGATGCTGGAATGCCCACAGAAGTGCTAACACCGGGTGTCCCTATGCCGACGCTGTTTGGGCCCCCAGCCCGACTCTTCCCAGGACCGGGACCGTCAACTTCCACCGCGGGCAGGGCACCGACTGCCCGGGCCCCCCCCTACCCAGCCGCCGGCACCGCAAAGCACGACCCGCTCCCACCGGGGGCTACGTGCGAGCATCACCGAGCCGATCCCCCCTTCCGCTCCCTTACCCCCCCCCCAAGCCCGGGCAGCCCCGGCCGCCCCATCCCTACCTTCCCGCTGGAGGAGCTGCGCCGAGGCGGCCAGGAGGGCGGCCAGGAGCGCGGCCAGCGCCCGGCCCGCAGCCATCTCCCCGCATGAGCCCGGCGCCGAAGCGGGCGCGGGTCCCTCAGGCGCGGCCGCCGCTTCCTGCTCCACCTCGCACCTGGAGCCGAGCGGGGCGGGACGGGCAGGTGAAGCCCCGCCTCTTCCTCCCGGGCGGGGGCGCTCGGCTCCTCCCATCCCGTCCCGTCCCGTCCCGTCCTCGGCCGCGCTGCCTCCGCCCCGGCGGGCTGCGGGCAGCAGGCAATGGGGGAGCCGCTGTTGCTGCTGCGGGGCGTTATTTCCGCTTTCCACCTCACTCGAACGTTTTCCCCTGCCCGTTTCCACTGCTGTGAGCTCCCACCAAAAGGGGGTTGAAGTCTTGGGTAGCGAGGTGCCCTCGCACCCCTGCTGGGTGCCCGCTCTGTTACCGATGTTGGGTAAGGCGCACCCTGCCTGCAGAAGCATCTCTGGGCTGATGTGCAGTCTCATCTACCCATGCAGAGGTGGGGGGGAGACCTGATTGTGGCCTTTCAGTACTTGAAAGGGCTTATAACAGAGATGGAGACAGGCTTTTTAGTACATCCTATAGCAGCAGGACAAGAAGTAATGGTTTAAACTAAATGAGAGGAGATTCAGACATAAGGAAAAAGCTTTAACAATTGGGGTGCTGAGGCACTGGTACAGGGTGCCCAGAGAAGCTGTGGCTGCCCCATCCCTGGCAGTGTTCAAGGCCAGGTTGGACACAGGGGCTTGGAGCAACCTGGTCTAGTGTGAGGTGTCCCTGCCCATGGCAGGGGTTGGAACTGGATGATGTTAAGGTCCTTTCCAACCCAAACCAGTCTGGGGTTCTCTGGAGGTGCCACGTTTCACACAGAAGTCGGCTCCTCCCAGCATTTTGTACCCTGCTTCTTGAATGTTTGGGAGCTTTGCAATGAAAACCTGAGCAGGAACCGTTGTGTCGTGGTCAGGAGTCGACGTTTGCCAGGTCAGTAAATGCCTTGCTAACATCAGGCAGCTCATTTCTAGTAATTCCATGCAGTTGCTTTGGAGCATCTGTTTCTTTGGCAGTATCGTTATAAACCCCAGTGCTGTTGCACCAGCCCACAACAGCACCCGGCTGCTACAGAAATGTGCACAGGAATATTCACGTTCAAAGAAGGAGAGAAGTCAAAATGGTGTCAGAAGTGCAAGACCTATTCCAGATTTAAACCCAAGCCATAAGGAAGACTGAAGACCCTTTGCTCTTGCTGGTTTAAGCTGGTGATGAGGCTACTCAGCTCTGCTGGGTGATCTTTACACCTCTTGCATAAATAAACCTGTTGTTGAGTGGTCTTCTGCATACTGCAGCTTTCAGTCTTTAGATATCTTTGTACCTTTAGATGATCTTAAGGTCATTCCCAGCCCTAACCATGCTATGATTCTATATGGCCAGTGTTCATAAGAAAGGAATGAACTGGTTATATCACTGCAGAGAAGTGAAGGGGTGGGAGTTTTACAGCCACATGAGGAGGAACAGAGTGATTTCTTAGGGGCTCAAATCAATTCTGCTGCCATTTCATTAACATAAGGAAACAAGGAAGGGTTAGGGGGGGTATTTTCTCCTATGGGAGAAATAGGAAAGCTTTTGGCCAACCCACAGCTTTTAGTTTGTGTTAGTTGTGTCTCACTGAGTTTTACCTCTCCATAAAGTTCATCACTTTCCCACTTATGTCAGCTTCATATTACTTCGTAGTTCCTTTGTTTTCCAGATCGCAGCATGGAAACAGTGTGTTAGACTTCATAAAACAGACATGGGTTTATGTCCAGTGCAATTCTTTACTCTGTTGTTTGTGATTCGATGTAGGTCTGGCTGCTCTTTGGTTCTCCCCAGTCACTCCTCTGGTCACCAGCATTTCCAAAGGAGCACAGTCATGTAATTCTCTTTGTAAGCTGTGTAAGCATTCACTAGCCAGACTGACATCTCTCTGAGACAGCTCTCTTCTGTTCCCTTTCACTTGGAGATGATGGACAGAGGGATGGGAGAGTGAGTGCCCCTCCATAGGGTTGAGGGTTGTGTACTGACAGACTGGCTAGACATGAGAGTCACTTCCTAGTGGATTTGGACATCTACTTTTGCATGAAGAGCGCAGATAGCTGGATTAAGATGCTTAAGATATTTGGCATGGGAAAGCATGCAGAAATGAGCACTTCAGGTCAAAAACATTGACTGTACACATAACTCTATGGGGAAAGAAAACCACCAACGCAAAGTGAGGGCATTTTGCATTGACTTGTTTTTAGCATAAGCCCACCAAAGCTGCTCTATCGCTCCTCAAACTGGGCAGGGGAGAGAAAACAGAAGAAAAGGCTCCTGGGTTGAGGTAAGGATGGGGAGAGATCACTCTGCAATTACCATCATGGGCAAAACAGCATTGACTTGGGGGAATCAGGTTAGTTTATTACCAATCAAATCAGAGGAGGACAATGAAAAGCAAAGCAAAATCTTAAACCCACCTCCCCTTCACCCCTCTCTTTACACATCTTCTAACCAAAATTTCCTTAGAAACAGCTATCAGCGCTCACTTCAGGGTATTTTCTTGAGAAGTTGAATATTCTTGGGATGCTGTCACTTTGTCCATGTGCCTGTTTTGGCTGATGCAGCTGCTAAAAAATTCCCAAAGTTGCTCTTTTTATTGAAGGTGAATAATTTGGTTTTAATTGTTTCATCTCCTTTTTTGTGCACTTAAGACATTTCTGGTTTTCCCCTCTTTTTGGTTATGCTTGTACATTGACAGTGATGGGAAGGGTCTTGATTTAGAATCATAGAATCAGCCAGGCTGGAAAAGCCCTTCAGGCTCATCCAGTTCAACCGTTCCCAGCACTCCAAGGCCACCACTAACCCATGGCACTGAGGCCTCGTCTCCACGCTGTGTGAACACTTGCAGGGACGGTGACTGCAGCCCTGCCCTGGGCAGCCTGTTCCAATGCCTGAGCACCCTCTGGGGAAGGAATTGTTCCTCAGCTCCATCTAAACCTGCCCTGGTGCAGCTTGAGGCCGTTTCCTCTTGTCCTGTCCCTTGTTCCTTGGGAGCAGAGACCGACCCCACCTCACTCCAACCTCCTGTCAGGCACTTGTAGGGAGCCATCAGGTCCCCCCTGAGCCTTCTCTTCTCCAGACTGATCCCCCCAGGTCCCTCAGCCATTCCCCATCACACTTGTGCTCCAGGCCCTGCACCAGCTACATTGCCCTTCTCTGGCCCCGCTCCAGCCCCTCAATGTCTCTCTTGCAGTGAGGGGCCCAGAACTGAACACAGGAATCGAGGTATTTGGTCCTAATATAGGTTAAATATGGAAGTATTTGGTCCTAACGTGGGATAAATGTGAATGTGTTTGTAAGCAGCCCCATTAAGTCAGGCTGGAGGTGAGCTAGAGCAGCAGACATCATTTTGCATTCCTCCTCCCTCTTCTACAGTAATTTTATTAGAAAAGGACAAGAATTGGGCACATCAGATTTGCAGGCCAGCCTTACTGGATCAGCTTCCTATGGTATGTGAGTCTATGGACTGAAGCTCACAGAGGTTGAGGAATAATTGCCTCTGTGGTCAATGCGCAATGAAAGCTCCATCAAACCTGACTAATTTGGCTTTTACCTCTCATTAGCTTAATGTGCAGTGCCCTGGTCCAGCTGGAAATGGTGTAGAAAATCAGAAGGCTTAATTCTTGTTAGCGTTATTTGTTGTTTTTATTGCATTCTTCTTAGGCAAGACTTTAAATGCTTTTAGCAGCCACTTCACGAGCTGGGTATCGTCCTTCAGTGGTGAGCTTCACTGACCACAGTGATGTTGATAGACTGCTGAGGGAGAATAGGCTTTAGCCATCTTGTAAAGGTGAATTTAGCAAGGAAATCCAGGGAAGAGATAAAGATGGGATAAAATGAGGAAAAACATGTACATGCTGCTTAGTCAAAAGTATTCCTCTGCTTTGCCTATAGGAGTCGTATCCTTTGCCTGGAAATGCCCTATAAATTACAGAGTGAGTTAGAAGAAAACACTGACAATCTATAAGTAGAAGCAGAAGAATTCTAAATCTCCTTATTTTTGAGGAGCAAACCTCCCACTTCAGCTTCTTTACCCCCACATTCAGTGTGTGTAACACACCTAAATGAAAACCTCAAAGACAGACCAGTGCTGTTCCTACCAATAGCTGTCAATGAGACATTCAGCTCTTGGGTTTTTTCCCCACCTAGAATGAAATCATTAAAGGGATAACCATACAGGCAGCTGTATGGGCACAGACCCCCATGGTCAGCCTGGGGACAATGTCCAGTAACCTCACACAGAGAGAGACACACATAAATGTGCTCTTTGTCCCAGGGAGATAAAGTTCACTGGAGTAATATTTAGGTTGGTTCTACCCTGTGCTGTCAATGGCAAACCAAGCTCAGCTAATCCTGAAATGATGGGGTGTGTATTTAGTGCAGATGTCCATGAGGCAGGTGGTACCAGAGCTGATGCAGGCTCAAAGAGAGTGATCAAGAGGCAGTTCATGGTGCTTGAAACACAGCTGCTGTATGAGATAGCATTTGCTCTCGCTGTGTAAACCAAAGCAGCTTTCAGCCAGCTGTGTGACACTCATCCAGCTGCCCAAAGAGCACCAGATGAGTACCTTGCTCTGGGGAGATGTAGGGCACTCACTGGGTATTCCAGCTGAATTTCCATGTATTTCATCTCTGTTATTAAACAGATCAAGTCAAGCAGCTGCTTTATATATTGTGGTCATGCCTAAGGACCATATCTAACATGGCCAGCTTCACCCTCAGCAAGCACTGACAGCCATCCTTGCTCCACAGAACTTGCAAATCCATAAGCAAAAGGTAGCAGAGACTGGAATGGAGAAGAGGATCTGTTAGAGGAAGCAGAACCCAGGGCTGTTGGTGTCTGTACACACCAGACAGGGGTGAACATAGCTGTGATATATTGGGATCTGACGTACTGGGGTAACTGGTGTGCACTGGCTCTCTGGTTCTGTTGCAGCTGAGAATACCAATCAAGGAATCATAGAATCCCAGACTGGTTTGGGTTGGAAAGGACCTTAACTCATCCAGTTCCAACCCCCTGCCATGGGCAGGGACACCTCACACCAGACCAGGTTGCTCCAAGCCCCTGTGTCCAACCTGGCCTTGAACACTGCCAGGGATGGGGCAGCCACAGCTTCTCTGGGCACCCTGTGCCAGCGCCTCAGCACCCTCACAGGGAAGAGCTTCTGCCTTAGATCTAACCTGAACTTCCCCTGTTTCAGTCTGAACCCATCACCCCTTGTCCTATCACTACAGTCCCTGATGAAGAGTCCCTCTCCAGCATCCTTGTAGCCCCCTTCAGACACTGGAAGCTGCTCTGAGGTCTCCATGCACCTTCTCTTCTCCAGGTCAAACAGCCCCAGTGTTCTCAGCCTGTCTCCATGCGGGAGGTGCTCTAGACCCCTTATGATGTACAACATCTGCTTCCCCATGCTGGAAGCTCAGCTCAGTGTGAGCTGAGTGAGGAGAATGGTAAGCGCAGTCTTGCAAGAGCACAGGAAATATGGCATTTGTCAGCCCTACCAAATCCCATGGGTATTTTCTTCACTATCTGAAGCTTATTACTGGAATACAGAGTCAGCTGCCTCCTGAGGCAGGCCTGGAAATGTGTGATAGCATAGTCATTGTTTAAGCTGGTTTCACTTACCGTGCTTTAGGAAAGTGATCTATGTCCCCTATATAGTAGTTGCATCTTGCCAGCAGACTAATTAAGACCAACTTGGTTAATACTAAGGAAAGACCAAAGAACTTTCTACGTTCCCTTGTCTCTGTCCAAGAGAACCAAACTTACTATTACCTCTGCTTCAATCCTAGCAGGAATATCCAGCTATGGCACAGGGCATTCATGGGATGAGACATCTCTCTGCTGTTTGTCTCCACTGTGTGGAGGAGAAGGAGTTGGACTCTCATAACTACCTCAACAAATATGGAAGGAGAAGGGATTTTTATTGCCTGCCAGGCATACAGCCCCACATGTTGTATTATGGAAGCGTGAGCCGTATGGGCACATTTCCCTTCCTTTGATAACTTCTTAAAGCAAGTCTTCTACTAAGGAAATTCTTCAACCTAAGTGGTTCCACAGGGTAAGTGCTGCTTGGGGGAAGTGACTAAGGAGGAGCAGGGGAAGGGAGCAAACCTAAATGCCAAGGTGCAATGAAGTCAGGCCCCTTCTGATAAATGTAGGTATATACTTAGATAACTTTGTAATCAGTGTGATCAGTGTCGCACTGACACTGGCTCTAGTCCATTAAACCCTCTGGGCACAGGATTAAGTCCGTCTCTGCAGGATAGAACAGGATTTCCTCCAACAAAATGGAATTATTTGCATGTATTTAAGTCCTGTTGCTTTCAAGTTATGCACTTGCTTAAGGCTGTTCTTGAAATTAGGGTTTCCTGACTTCAAGTGTATTTATGCTGAAAAACACCCATTTGCTTTATTTGGGAGCTACTTATTGCACTGGTTAGCATCGATACTTATGGTGCTAAGCAATCATTACAGCTCCTCATGACCTGTCATAATATATACATTATTGATCATCATAAAAGAGGAAAGAAACAGGCCCAGCTATAATAATGATCCATGGAATATTCTGGAGTCCACAAATCAGTCTTCCATAGACTGAAGTCATGCAGCACATCATTTTGGTCGAAAGCTTCATTCTTTCCAAGCTCTTCCTGGTGGTTAGATGGATTGTAGGAAGCACAGGGGCTGCTTACAGCCCTTGAATACACACCCTGGTTAGTGATAGAATATGAGAGATTTAGCAGGGCTTTGAGCAAGTTACATGTGCAGAGTCTTACCCTGCAGTCTTTGTCTGGGTCTTCACTGGTGGGGCTGGATGGAGCAGCAAAGCAGAGAGGGGATGTGGAAAGCTGCACCCAGAGCAAAGAAGGTGATGGGGACCCTGCCCACTGCTCATTATGTACAGGTTACGGAGTCACCTAAAGGTGAAGAGTGGGATTTGGTTCCAGAAACAGTCATCTTGGAGTTGTTTTCCTGTGAAACTGGGTGTGCAGAATGCAGTGCTCTTACGAGTCGCACAGGGGAGAGGTCGCTGCTCCCGGTACATATTGTTTGGTATAAAGTTATTGTTTTCTTCTTGCTTGCATTTTAAAGGGAGTTTTCCCAGGAAAAGAAATAGAAGCAGGACTTCATGAGGGGCTGCTATGCAAAATGCAGGGGAAGAAAAAACATTATCCGCAAGCCAAACTGGCTGGATTGTGTCCATCTGCTCCCAAATGTGAGATGTTGTGGCCCGAAAGGAATAACCTGCTTGCGTAGGAAGGGAATGCTCATCATATATCACACAGACAGGCAGAGGAGACAGCAGGGACAGTCTAGAGGCTTGGGCACTTCTGAGCCTCTGGGAAGAAACCCAAGTTTTTTGTCAGGGAGAAGTCATATTCCATCATCTTTATCTGTTGCTGAGCGAAATCATAACAAACCAGCTTAACAGCAGGAACATTCCTCAGTGGGTAAGGACTGGTTATTTATTGCATACATATCCTTTGTCACTTTATACAGACATCTCTGGTACAGATGTTCAAGCTCTGATAAAAGATATAAATAGTATGTGTGGTAAACAGCTTGTAGAACAGGACAGCACTACGGATTAACACAAATGCCTGTATGGATGCTTAGCAGAGACAGCGTGAGTCACATAAGGGAATCCATGGGGAGACCAGCACTTCCCCATGGCTCTCACACTGGCATGTATGTAATGGGTCCTTTCTGTAAGGGAGATATTAGTGATGTGCCTGCACTGTTAACTGTCCTGATGCAAACATAGTGAAGTTGGAAAGAGCTTGAGACAGTGAGGTTTCCCCCTTGAGCTGCACTACAGCTTCATTAGGAAAGTGAATTCCGTGCCTTCTGCATAATATTCTGCCTTTAAATGGGTTGTGTTAGGTACTGAAATGAGCCAATTGACTCAGACACCAAATGTGCCTGGCACTGACAGTCCTTTCATCATGGATTTATAAAGCTCCCAAGCAGGGATTTTATATTGTCAGTCATACCCAGTCCCACTCTGGCAACATATTTGTCATCTAAGGTGGACAAGGGTAGTCCCTGTCCACTGATCACTAATGATGAGTGATTAAAGACCATTGTGGGCTTTAACAAGACTTTGTGGTGATGTTGTAGGTGCAGCTGCAGCAGATGGTCCAGAAAAACCGCAGCTAAAGTTCTTATTCCACGTATAAAACTGCTAAGGCTTTCCTGGAATGTTGAATGAGGAAGAAATGAGCATTTGCTGAAGCTATTTTAACTTATGTAGAATGTATCCAAAAAGTGAGATTCTGCCCTACAGGATAACATGAAGCGTTAACATTTGGTTTCAACTGAAAAGTGTGCAGTTAGATCCAGTTGTCACCAAAGCCTTGGAGAGCTGGACATGATGCTCTGATGATGTTGCATTTACACTTTGATTGTTCAAGTGGCTCCTAATGCTGCTGTGATGATTTGTGCAGGTTTCAGGGCACTAAGCTAAGAGGCTGTCATCTAGATTTGAATTTGGTTCTCTAGGAATCCAGGGTGTGCATCCTAACTCGGGTTTGTAGGAACAAAGCAGGGTATTTAACAGCCTGCTCAGGAATGGGAGAAGAGCAGTCAGGCCTTAGACTTGGCAGTAATAAGACATCTTCCCATCACTTCCCACCCATCCTCACCATGCCCCTCTATAGCCCTGCTCTTCGGTGGGGTGAATTAACTTAGTGGAGAACTTACTGGGCTGTACTGGGTTTTGTGTCACCCTCTTTAGATCCTTGTATCTTAGATCCTGCTGGCTGAGAGCTGCGTTGCGTTGTGCAGATGCAATCTCAGCCTTTCTGTGCCTCAGTTGCCAAATGCTCAACAAGGAAAAATAGCAACACCTTTTTCATCAGTGATGAAAGACATTGAAAACTGGGGGTGTGGGGCTGGTTCTCTGATGCTGTGGCAA